GTGTCCTCCAGACCCATGGCTCATCCCCATCATGCACCAGCCCATCAATGCCAAGCCAAGGCCACAGTAACACTGAGCATGGTGGTGCTGCCTGGAAATTGGGGTGCTCTGTGGAAGCCCTGCCTGATGGGGGACAGGGAGCTGGGGCCCACAGGCAGCTCCCACTACGTGACAGGGGGCACAGTGTGGACAGGACTCCATGGGTCCCAGCCCTAGAAAAACCTAAGCACCTCCCAGGGTATCCCTACTTCTAAGACACCGGGAAATGCACATGCAGAGTTTAATTAACTTTATTGATATTCAGAAATTAGGGGACTGACTAGAGGTAATTGCTCATTAGAAATCATTAAACTGACACAGTAAGCACCAACCTGCCTTGGGGGAAACCTGCCCTGCCCAGGGCCCTCCCCCCAGGACAGAGCCAGTGACACAGACCCCCTCCAGTCTCACCGCCCCTCTGGTAGGGCAGGAGATGGGGGTGCTGTGGCATTGCCTCACTTGCTGCCCGCATTCACCCCCTCTCACAAGGAAGAAGGCTGTGGCAGCAGTCCCGGGCGGCAGAGCGAGCTGGGAATAGCAGCGGGCGCAGGGCCACGGCGCCCTTCCCTGGCTGGGCTCGGCTGCCAGATGGGGAGTTTATGTAACTCCCCGCACGGCTGCTGCCTGCAGCCGGTGCCTGCATCCTGCATCCAGCATCCCGCATCCCACCGGGGCCAGCAGGGCTGGACCATGACCCGCCCATCACCCTGTGCATGGCCACAGTGGTCCGGGGCACCCTGACAAGTCTCCCCAAGACTCAGAGGGTCCCCAGTCCTATTTTTGGGGCAGTGGAGCCACGAGGCATCGAGGCTGCCGGTGCCCCATGGGTGGCAGAGCCAGTGAGCCGAGCTGGGTGTTGGCTGCTCTCCTTAGGAAGGACCAACACCAGCCATCCCCACGTTCCCCACGCCCCTCCCGGAGACGGAGGTGTCACCCCAACAGAGGAAGGGGGGAAGAGCCAAATGCCCCCGGTGCCCCGCGGTGGGGACTGCACGGAGGGACCGGATCACGGCGCA